TATGCTTGGTACACCACTGGGTAGCGTTCAACATTGCGGTCCAAAGAGCTTCCTGGCAGCATCTCACCCGAGATCGTTTGGCTTCGGCATCGGACTCGACGAACGTCCTGACGCTCCCCCAGAAACTCCCACTTACTGTACCTCATCGAATGTGAACCGCCTTGCGAGCCAGCTGTTGGCTGGCCAGGAGTGCACTGCTCAGGAGGCGGCCCCTGGGCGACGCGCTGGCGGAGGTGGCGAGCCGTGGCCTCTGCCCTGTTGTGAGATTGGTGTAGCGGTGTGGTCGGCGGCTCTCTCGACTGCTTGCTGGGTGCGGCTCGAGCCCGCGCCGAGGCTCCTTGGGGACGGCAGCGCCCACGAGGCTCTGGCCGCCGTCTGCGCCTCCCGCCGGCTGCTGGGCGGCAACAGCTGCAGCCGCCGGTGGCGGTGGCGCAGCGGCTGGAGGCACCCGCGGGGCGGCCGCCCCTGCCGGCGGCGCGGCTGCGGCGGCCTGCTGCGCCAGGGCCTGCTGCTGCAGTCGCGCACGGCTGAAGTCGTTGTTGCGTCTCTCGGCCACGCCGTCGATATCCCGCTGGAACTCTGGAGAGACGACGATGCCCGCGAAGGTGGCCTTGACGTAGCTGTCAAGTACATCCGATGGTGGTTGAGGCGCCTGCGTCCCTGCAAGCCTGGCCGTCGCGGCCTTCGCCGCGACCTTGAGCTGGCTCTCGAGCTGGAGGATCTCCTCGTGGATGTCGGCGCACTCCTTGGCCACGCCGTCGTGCTTGCCGGTGGATTCCTCGACGCGCTTGATGTACCAAAGCTCGTCCTTCTGCTTCCCAGCGACGCGCTACCGCTGGGCGTTGAACTGGTCCGAGAGGCTCTGGGTCTTCTGGTCGGGCGACTTGGAGGCGAGGGCGGCTGCCTTGGCCGCCTTGAGTTTCTCCTGCGCCTCCTTGAAGTGGGTGCCCCCCACTCCCTCGATGACCCGCCAGAAGTTGACGGATTTGATACAGATGAGGACGGGGTCCGTCTCAGCGCCTTCGCCTTCGTCATCCTCATTGATGGTGGTGTCGCCGAAGTGGACGCCTGCACGTCTCCACCTGTTAGGTCTGATTATCGAGGGGGTGCGATAGGGGGTTGGGAGAGTTGGACGCGCCAGCGAAGGTATCACCACATTTCCCACAGTGCTTGTGCTGCAGATCTGTTCCTTTTCCTGTGCAAGCTCCTCGGCACCGCCTGCACCCCGGCCCGCACTCCGGCCGCCCGAGGCCCCGCCCGCCTGCGCCCTGTCTCCCCACTTAAAGCTGTGCGTCGCCCGCCTGGCTTTTAGCGGAAGAGGCTCGCTCTCGCCCCCGCAGGCCAAAAGAGTGCTGCAGATTTGCCCATGACCATTCGGGCCGGACGAAAGGGGGGGAATTGGGAAAGGGGGGGGTACGAAATTTGCTGCATGCAGCTGGTTTCGGCCTCACCGAGGGGCCCATTCCTCGATACATGGGCGCCTCCCGGCGCCGGGAGGCGCCAGGGAAATGAGCTACGTGAGCTGATTCTCAACCCCCCCCTTTGCTATCCCCCCCTTTCGCCCGACCCGAACCATCCCCCACGCGATGGCTTCGAACCGACCTGGCAGCTCCGCTCGGCGTGCGCCCTGCTTCTGCTCGTGCGCGCCGATCCTTCCCCCCCCCGGGCTGGTGCTGCAGGAGGGATGGGTGCGCCACCGCGCGCCATGGCCGCCCTGCCCAGAGCAGCGCCGCGCATAGGAGGCTTGGCATCGCTCGGGCGTGTGCGTTCTTTCCTCGGCGAGGACCATCAAGGAGCATTCTTGATCACTTGGCGAAAAAAACACGCACGAAACCGACAAACAAACACAGGGAATGGACGTCCGAGCGATGACGAGAAGGAGGAAGCACCCACGATGGCGACGGCCCGCGCGAGCCGCTGGTTGGGCGGTCGTGATCGCTGAAAGAGAGCTGGCCGAGGCGGCCAGGCCCTGGGAGGGGCTGCCCTTCTGCCTCGACCCTGAGCCTGTGGTGCCGGGACCCACGAGGAGGCCCGTGAGCCTTGAGCCAAAATGGCTACGGGGAAAGGGAAGGAGGAGGAAGAGGAGGAGGAGGAGGAGGAGGAGGAGGGGGGGTGTATGAGGAGGATGAGGAGAGGTGGAGGAGGAGGTGTATGATCGAGGTTGGGGGATCGATGCCATTGGGCGCAATATTTCAAGGCCTCTGGGCAGCCTCTCGTCGGCACTGTCGGATTCCCCCGGCAAGTTCTGGCCAGAACGCTCCCCAGCAGGAGGCCCGCTGGGTGTCTGAAGGGATGGGGTTGGACGAGCCCCGTTCTAGAGAACATCCGCCCTCCGTCCTTGTAGCCGTAAGCGAGTCAACTCGAATCGATGCAAACCAGTACGAAGGAGTGGCACATCACAATCCAGCACAATGCGAAGCATCTCGGGGCAATGTAGCGCATCGCCCACCAGTGCAATGTGTGCACTGCACCCCCAACATGTGCACTTACGAATGCGAATGGATTCACCATAATATTTAGTAACGCGACATATTTGGAAACAAGACACGTCTTCCCACACCAATGAAAGCAATCGAACCTGTGCGACGCGCATCACTGTATAGCAATTCGAAGCGAAGCATCCCAACCAAGATAATTACAAACAAATGCAACGAACTACAGATCAACTCAACGCAACGCGATGCCAATCAGTGCATGGCAATGAAGTGCAATACAACGCAATGGAAGGCGATGCAACGTAATGCAACCGAATGACAACCAACACAAGGCAGTACAACGCAGGGCGCTGCGGGAAACAAGGGGAATCGCGGGACACCTCGGGGCCACGCAGAGCCACCTTGGGGAGCACCGAGCTAATCCCTTGACCTCGTGCAGAGAAGAATAGGTGATGTCGCATCTTCGGAGGACCTCGCCTGTCTCCCAAATTGGAGTCTTTTTTCTTGTGCCCGACGCGGGTTCGATGCGGACGCGACGCGAATTTGGAGTGGATTCGACACGGATGCGACGTGGAATCGGAACAGATCCGACGAGTCCGACACGGGTTCGACGCGGATTCGACGCGAATGGGGCCGCGGCAGTGGGACAGACGAGGCCCCCCCGAGGATGCAGTATAGAATCGGAGCCATAGGCACAGCCGAATTGTGGAACGCAAGCAGGTGGAGGAGGAGGAGGACGACGACGACGGCGATGAGGAAGAGGAGACGGAGAGGAGGGCGGATGAGGACGGCGAGGGGGAGCAGGAGCAGGAGAAAGAAGGCGGACGAGAGCGGGGAGGGAGAGGTGTTGGGATGGACGGGCAGGAAGGACACGAGGAGGAGGATGAGTTGAAGGACGGATGATGCGGGGACGGGGAGGGATTGGAGGAAGGAGGAAGGAGGACGGAAAAGGAGGAGGTGTAATTGGATGGAGATGGGGGGACGGGGAAGCTGAGCATGAGGTCGACGACGGGAATGACTGAGGTGCAGGACCTCCTCCTCCTCCCCTGCTGTTGGCCCTCTCGGGTTGTCGCCTACCTTCGGCCTCCTGCTCTTCCTGGAGAAGCCTTCCCTCTTGGTTGGTGCGCCACCTTCTGACGCTGGCTCAGCCCGCGGGGGTTGAGGTAGGTGTGGTTGCGTTCCACGAAGCCTGCGTGTAGCCAGCAGAAACCAGGAGCCAGGTGAAGGAAGAGGAGCTGCGGAGCTGGAGCAGGAGAAAGGGCTTCGAGTCCTCCTCTCCCTCCTCCTCTCGCCCGGGGGTGCGGCGCGAGGGCGCGAAGTTCTTCGCGCTCCGCGGCACGGCTCCGATTCCTCCTCGTCCTCCTTTCCTCCCTTGGGGGGCGGCGCGAGTGCGCGAAGTTGTTCGCGTTCTCGCGGAGCGCGGAGCGCGAAGTGTGGAGCCTTGTTGCGGACAGTTCTCTTGGGGGACATTGGCATTCAAGCTCTTCTTTAGTCGGAACGCGACTTAGGATGAATTGGTCGGAAAACGACTCAGGGTGAATTTGTCCCGTGGAAGGCCCCAGGCCCCAGGACCCGTTTTCCTCAGGGCCCGATGTTTTCATGCTGCGCGTTTGCCGGGGGCGTGTTTTGCGTGTCGTTTGAGGGGTTGGACTTCGGAGGAGGACGAGTGTGTGAGAAAGGAAGCGGAGCGGAGGACGTGGAGGAGGATAGAGGGTGTGGAGAAGGGGGGGAACACGTAATGAAGGAGGTAGGCATAGAGGGAGAAGGCTGGGGGCTGCACGATGCTGGCCGTTGGGCCAGGAGGGGGCGGGTGGAGGGCAGGATGTGTCGACTGATGCGTTCCAGAGGGCTTGACTGTTCTCCGATCGACGTGCGGGGATCCAGCCATATACATCGAGGTAGGGCGAGGTGAATCCAGATACTGGTACCATATACATCGAGGGAGGGCGAGAAGGAGGGCGAGAAGGGAGGGCGAGAAGGGGGATGGCGAGAAGGGAGGGCGAGAAGGGGGAGGGCGAGAAGGGGAGGGCGAGAAGAGGAAGGAGGACGAGGTACACCCATCCAGATACCTCCAGCGAGGTCCAGAGATATCCGGGCAAACGTTGCGCAACTCGCGGAAGCTCCAGCGCCAGCCGAGGGACAGCAGGAGCCGTTACGGCAGGTTTGCGTCGCTTCCGCGTGTCGACTTTTTGGGAAGCCGCGATCGTCGATATTTGAACGAGCCACGCGGTGACAGAAACCAATGTCAACGTCATCGCAGCGCGAAAGTGCCGTGAGCTCTCGAGCTCTCGTTGAAGGTCACCACCCACCAAGCCACCCCAACCTAACCCGAAGGCTCAGATTTGCCCTCGATTTCCAGTGGGGGGGTTCGGGAAACATCGACAAAAAACGCGTGCGGAGCCCTTACCCCTCCAACCCGAAATTCGGGTCCTCGGGTTGGGTTGGGGTGGTCTGGCATGTAGTCCGAAGGAGGAGGGCTGCCCGCGGCAGCCGTTTCGGCACCGAGGCCTCGTGGAACCTCCCACGGCCGGCCCTCCCCGCGGGGCGCGCCGGGTCCTGGCCGCGATGGCCCCGGGCCAGGCCGGCCTGGGCTTCGGCAGCAGATTTCTGGGCCTCCCAGATGGTTTGGGGCGGCAAATCACCACCCACCAAACCACCCCAACCCAACCCGAAGGCTCAGATTTACCCTCGATTTCTAGTGGGGGGGGGTCGGGAAACGTCGAAAAAACACATGTGGAAGCCTTACCCCCCAACCCGAAATTCGGGTCTTCGGATTGGGTTGGGGTTGTCTGGTAGGTAGTCAAAAGAGGGGGGTGATGACTAGGGGGGGGTGGATATCATGGCGGGGCCCATGACGTTTCCCCAGATCTCACGGCGTCTCTTCTTGTTTCATTGCGTCCCTGCCCCCCGCTGGGCCGCGCACGTGGTCATGATTTGCACACGCACCCCTCTTGGACACCCCCCTCTTGGTCGCTCCCGATAGATGTGGTCGGAGTAGATGGGGTCGGAGGATCGCGCCGCATCGCCGATGCATCGGCGATGCGGCTCGATATGGGGCCCAATTTTCTCCTCGCCGACGTCGCCGATGCACCGTCGATGTCGCCAGTGCATCGCCGATGCATCGCCATCGAGGAGGCCTCTTATACCCTCATCACTTTGTCTTTAGAGTACGTGAGCGTCGAAGAGCATCTGGTAGTCGATGAGATGGCGCCGATTTGGCGTCGATGGGTTCAGATTTAGCGTCGACCAGCGTCGATCCGCAAGAGCCAACAAGATGGTATGGAAGGCTCCCATGAGTTGCCACAGAAGGGTGAGGGGCCAGATTTGGTTAGGATCGGCACGCGTACGGAAGTTGTTGTGTGAGATACGACCCCCGACCAAACCTCTTGCTCGGTTTTGGGGGTCGCCGTGGTGATCGTGGCGGCCACAAAACGGGGCTTTGTTTGTGTCAAGTAGCGGCATGCTCTTGCCAGCCCGCCCCCCCGCTGGTCGATGTTGTTGTGGCTCAGAATCTAACATGTCGCAACAGAGAGTTGTCATCTCCGTTCAGCATCGGTAGTGTTTTCGTTTTTTGTTTTGCCTGGAGGTTGATTATCGCGCAACCAGGAAAGAATGGGGATTGGTGTAGGCATGCGTCCACTGATAGACCCCCTTCTTCAAGGCGCGTTTGGCGTAAGTTCTGTGCCCCCATTGAAGGCCGATGTCAGCATTCACGTCGGCAACGCCCCAGAAACGACATTCACATGCTGGATTGGCTTCAGAGACAGTGCTCTTGGATGTCTGGTGAGTTCTGCATGCTGGCATGACTTACAGTGTTTGTGGTTTGGGGCATATAAACAATAGCTCAGGAGGGGGAACAAGACACACAGACACAATTAATCGTCGATCCCCAGGAACATATGGGAAAGCATGGGAAAGTGGGCGGGAAGACAGAACATATGGGAAACTATGGGGAATCGTTTATTTGTGTGTAGTTATTTGTGTGTCCTTGGGCCCCTTCAATAGCGGCCGTGCGCCGATGTTGGAATGGACTGGACAGGACTTGCCGTCGGCATCGCCGCGGACGTTGTCCACTCGGGGTACGTCGCCTTCCCAACCAGCGGCCGTGGTCGGCCTTGGACAGCATGGGTCGGCCGTGCTCACTTCGGGTGCGGACAGGGCTGCGCTCACAGACGTTCTCGGAGGAGCCTACGAATTTCTCGGGTCGGTGTTGAACGACCCTGGCCTGGGATGCAACTCCTGGGAGGTCCAATTCTGGTTTTGCCCTGGTCCGAAATCTGCCTCAATCCGGCTTAGTCCCGCTTGATCCCGTTCAATTTTGCCAAATCCCGCTTCATCCCGCTTAATCCGAGGCCCACTCCGGCGTAACAGCTCCCAAATGGGGCTTAATCCTCCTTCATCTGTCCGACGAAACCATCCCAGTAGTTGCTCCTAAGGTGTTGGACCCCCTGGCGGCTCCTCCGGTGCCGACCCGCCCTGCGCGCCCCAGGGTTAAGTCGGGCCTGTCCCCTTCCCTCGACGCCACGGATTGACTTGTCTCGGAGACTTGGTCAGAACGCGCCCCAGGAGAGGGCCGTGAAGTATCCCCGTGCGGGGGATAATGAAGCCTACCCCCCCGTTTACCTCCTTTTTATCCCCGTTCAGTAGGATTTAATTGTGGAGAGGGGCGCGGAGGCCGACCTTGATAATCCACGGGGGAAGTTGTGAATTGAAGTCCAGCGCAAGAGAGGTTTCTTGGCCAGAACGGCCAAGGACCTACCTCTCTTGCGCTGGCAAGTTGTAGCCACGAGCTTCGAGATCTCTCGAGCCCCTCTTGTGTTACACGAGCGCCCAGGATCACCATCATCATGATCATCGTCATCATCATCAGCATCATCATCATTTCTAACTAACATCACCTTCCCAGGGAAAATCGTTGATTATCCCCGCCAGACCCCCGAAATGTATTATCTGGGGGCTATTATTATCTCCCGCACCCGGGTTCGCGGTATCTATGGTTAGTTTTCTGATCCTTTCTTGTTGTCTCATTTTTGCTGCACTCACCAAGGTTCCAAGTTGTAGGCCATCGTGCCTGAGCCAGTCCTTTGTAGTGCGCTTTTCTAATATGAACGCAGCGGTTGTACAGCAGGGGGGAGGCGCGGGGGCGGCGGTGACCACACCTGTCCCAGGAATTTCAGAATTTCCCCAGATTTCCGACATGCTCCATACTGGTTGCAGAATCGAGGGCCGCTAGTTTCCCCAGAATTCTTGGAACGTATCTTGAGCCAATCGCATCGTGACATCATTGTCGTCGTAGGTAGACTCCTCGATGTGTACATGCCCGTCTCTGGCGCCAAGATGCGCCTGGGGAGCCAGTCCCACGCAGCTGCACCACCACGCCCCTTGACCCGCCCCGTGCAGAGGGTGGTCTCGAGAGGATCCCCACCCGGCACCCAAGGGGGCTGCGTCGAGTCCTCAAGGCATTAGGCCTCCCAGATGGGTCAGGGGTATTAAAACACACGCGCAGGCACAATAGACGTCGATTCCCCAGAAAAGATGGGAAAATATTGTCCCTGGGCGCCTCCCAGATGGGTTCGACGTAGATAGGGGTCGGAGCATCGCGCCGCATCGCCGATGCATCGGCGGAGAGGCTCGATGTGGAGCACGATTTTACCCACGCTAGCCTCGCCGATGCACTACCGACGTCTCCGATGCTGGGCGATCCTCTGTCACCCCATCAACTCAGACCCCATCTTGGAGGCCTCCCTCCTGAAAATGTCCCCCCTGCACTCCCAGGAAGGCCTACCCCTTCTGCCCGCACCATGCCTCTGGTTTTCTCGCCATTCCTTCCTCCCCGACCAGACACAGCCCGATTCGCACTTGGGTGACGTCAGGAAGCAGTTCCAACGGCGCCGACGCTCGCGCGAAAGTTTCCTTGCGAAAGAACAAGCGTGCGCGCCCTCTTCTTCACGCAGCGTGCCACGCTGGCGGCCCGCCTGAGCTGCAGCGTAAGGTCTCTATGCCATATCGCGTAGGACCCGCTTATTTTCGTCGTTCGCCTGTATCCGCCGCCTGAGCTCGGCATCGAGGATGCGAGGATCGGGGAGTGGGGAGGAGGATCGGGGGGTCGAGGCGTTTGTGCGTTGCTCCTCCCTTGTTTGGCCTTGAGAGGCTCCTCGTCATCACGGCTGGATCCTACGAAGCTCTTGTCAAAAGGAGAGGGCACCAGTGATATACAGACACCGATCCGGGCCCCGGGCCAAGAATCGATGTATTCAGCCTCTTAGCTTGGCACAGAAGACATACGCACCAATATTCGGTCAAATGTTGGCCTGGCCCGAATCGGTGTGGGTATGTAGTTGGCGCTCTCGGACAGGATGTACCGCAGAGAAGAGGTCGGGCTGCCAATGCTGAGACACGAGCGGCGCAGAACAAATCTGGTTGTTTGTACCGACACTGGCGCGTAGATTGCCCGCGTAAGATGACGCGTAAGCCGTCTCGTCTCCAGTGTAGCGTGCCGCGCCAGCGGCCCAGCGTAAGCCGCCGCGCAAGGTCGCTGTGCCATCTCGCGTATGGCCTGTTTCCTTTCGATGCTCACACGTCGAGGTTGGCAGGTCGTCTGTTCGTCAGGTCGTCTAGGTTCAGGTCCGTAGGCGCGCTCGCGGCGATGTAGGCAACGGCGAGGTCTGTTCCGGTGTTGTTCGCACGTGTGGCCAGCGTTTTCCCACAATTCTTTCTGTCGTGTTCGGTCGACACCTTCGCATATATTGGAGATGCAGGAAAGCGTGTGGTCCGCGATGTCCTGTCCTGCCGAAGGGTTCCCAGCATCGCCGTCGAGCCACCTCGCCGCTCGCGTGGGCCCCCCCCCCACCGCGGGGGGGCGCGGATGGAGCCGCGGGCTTGCACCACGCTTCCCTCACCGAGCGCGCCCCACGACTCGCATGGTGCCTATTCGCAAACGCTCGAAAAACAACGGTTTGCCTCGATGTAGTACATCGTGGGTCCTCCGCGGCGGATCCTGGCCACTGGCGAGTGACGAGTTGCTCTGCGAGTCGCGGGGCGCGCTCGTCCAGTCCCGAGGCCGGTGGGGGCGTCTGCCTTCCGCGGAGGTAGCCGCGCGGCGCGGAGTCGCGAAGCGTAGGGGTAGGCCGCGCGGCGCGAAACGCGAAGCTCACGGCGGCCCGGAGCAGGCCCCGTCGGTCGTTCGATCGACTCTCAGGCCCCCCAGTTGGGGTCAGAGCAGATGGGTTTCTCTTCGACTCGAGCTCGACCCCAGTTCGACTCAAGTTCGACCCCGGTTCGTCTCAAGGTCGACTCGAGTTCGGCTCAGGTTCGATTCGAGCTCGATTCGATCGGAACGGGCACGGAATACATGAGTGCGGTGCTCTAGGCCTCCCTGATGGGGTCGGAGTACAGTCGGCCCTGACTAGCAGGTCGACCCTGCCTAATCAAGGGTACCCTTGTGTCCTGTGTCGCGCGACCCGTGCCCTCTACACTCCTATGGCAGTGTGACCCTGTGAAAGGTCTTATGTCAAGTCGCGTGTCCTCCCCAACCGAGTCCGAGGATCGCGCCGCATCGCCGATGCATCGTCGATGCGGATCGACGTGCAGCCCGATTGCGTCGACGTCGCCGATGCACCGCTGGCGTCCACGATGCATCGCTGATGCATCGCATCGCCGATGTGTCGGCGATGCGGCGCGATCCTCCGACCCCATCTGCTTCTACCCCATCTCTGAGGCCCCTATGAAGGTAGGTATGTTCTTGGCATCGCTCGGACGCGTGCATAGACCATCGAGGACCATCCGGGATCATGTCGCAAACCGAAGCAGGCACACACGTCGATCGTGGACCGGGCGCCACGTGAAACGGGGGGCGATAAACGGGGGGGGGGGGCAGCGAGGGCTGCAGAAGAGGAGCCCTTCACGGCTCCTGTGGGTGGGGGGCCCTCGATGTCCCAAATGGGGAGGCTTTTCAGGGCCGGGCCCGGGCATTGCGCCTCTCTTCCCCCCCCCGCATTTATCGCCCCCCCCCCATCAAGTCGGGACGACCGACATGGGTACGGAAAGAATGGGTACAATGCCCAACAGCAGTTCCTGTCATCTTAACATGGCTCGCTGTCCGCGCCGCCGCGGCCTGCGTCCATTCGAGGCAGAAGGCCGCCTGCCCAACAGCGGCCGCTGTTGGTTTGGGACAACATTTTCGGGGGAGGACAGAACCCCCAACAGTGACACGTCGATTAGTGAATTGTCCGTTTTCGGTTCTCGAGAGGGCGCCGTGGCCGTTATTTTCCAGGCTTGCGCCCGCCAGGTTTGGGCCTCAGGTCGTTTTCACTAAACCACGTTTTACTAAAGGGGGTCTGTCCATCCCCGACATTTGCTGTCGGGCATTGTGCCCATTCTTTCTGTGCCCATTTCGGGCGTCCAAATCAAGCGACGCCCTAGCTGAAAGTCGGTTTTTGCTGGATGCCCAGGTCCCAATCAACCCTGGGCGCCTCCCGACGTCAGGGGTCGAGCGGCGTGTCCTCTCTCCTCCTCGTGGGGGCGGGCGGAGGTCCGATCTGGGTCTTGTGGAGGTCGATCGACGGAGAGGGAGGGAGGTTTTTTGAAGGGAGGTCTGTGTCCACCGCCGAAATGTCCAGATGTCTGAAACATGTTTCAACCATGTTCTGAATAGGTAAAAGACGTGTAACATTTTCAGAACAGGTTTTACACACGTCAAGCGCATTTTCAATCCAGGGACAGGAGCCGTAGAGTGTCCACTGTCGTGGCGTCCACAAATCTAGTCCCAACGCCTTCCAATCTCGTGTTGCCGCCCGCTCCTTCCGACCGACGCGTGCCCGTTCCTGGTAGGTGCGGGTCTGGGTACTGCGTGCTCTCCCTCCCCTGCTGTACGAGGAGCTCCTCAAAAAGGGCCGTGCCTTCGACTTGCCATCGCTCGGACGTGTGCATTTTTCCTTCGGCGAGGACCATCGAGGGGCATCCTTGATCATTTGGCGAAAAAGCCACGCACGAAAGCGAAAAAGGCACGGGGAGTGGACGTCCGAGCGATGGCCAGTCGAGAGTCGAGGGAGGTGCCGTCTCTCTTCCAGGCGGAGGGCTGCGGAAGGCTGGCGGAGGGCGGCGGAGGTAAAACGAGGGCGGCTCCGTCGCCAAAAGGCTGGTGGAAGGAAAAGATGCGCCCCCAAGAGATGACAGCATTTGTGTGTTCGAGGATTCCGGAACCCGCCATATGACTCCCTCATCTTTTTGAGTCGTCGACGCAATTCTTCGTCGAGCCCCGTGAAAACAATAGAAAAACATGGGCACCAGGGTATTGCGACCGCCCTGGACTACTTGGGGCCTGGTGATGCCAGCTGCAACATCCCCCGCTTCCTCCCGAACGTCAGCTGCTGATTAACAAATCAGCCCGGGGCTGATGAATAGACCGCGCGGGGCGCGAAACCATTTTTTTCATCGCGCGCGCCTGGGGGTCGTCGCGGGCGTCGTCGAGAGAATCGTGTGCCCCCCATGCGTGGCAGCCTCAACACGATCCGTTGTCGTCGTCGTCGTCGTCGTCGTCGTTGGCGTCGTCGTCGTCGTTGACGCAGCACCCCCCCCTCCCATAGGGCATCCGCAGTGCGTCGTCGCCGCCGTCGTCCTCGCGTTGTCGTCGTCGTCGTCGTTGTCGTGATTGTCGTTGTCGTCGTATCGTCGTCGCCGTCGTCATCGTCCTCGTCCTCGTTGTCGTCGTTGTCGTCGTCGTTGTCGCCGATTGCAGCTAGGGCATTCGCAGTGCGTAGACGTCCGTCGTCGTCGTCGTCGTCGTCGTCGTCGTCGACGACTACAACGGGCATGCGCGGAACCCCCGCCCCCCCCCCATGGGGCATCCGCAGTGCGTCGTCGTCCGCCGTCGCAGTCGCCGTCGCAATCGTCGTCGTCGTCGTCGTCGACGTCGTCGTCGTAGGACGTAGTAGTGGGGGGGGTTGGGGGAAAAGGAGAAGGAGGAGCCGTTTTCCGCCTGCCTCTTCCGCTCCTACCCCTCTTTGTTTTTGGCTTGTAGCGATATCGGCACCGCCCCCCAGCCGAGGCGCTTCTTTCTCTCCTGTCAGCCCATACGCCCCGCTATGTCGGACGCGCTGCTGTCCCCATCCGCTGAAGCGGCGCACCTTGCGTCGCGCCTTTCGCCCTCGTGTAGTCGGCCGGGCGTCGGCGCGAATCACAGGCGCCGCCGCCGCGTATTTCAATTTGACGGGCGCACCCATCGCGATTCGCCCAAATAGAGCAAAAATTTTGTTGAACAGCGCGCCCCCGATTCTTTGTTTATCACAAATTGACATTCCCCCCCGTGCCCCGCGCATTTCCTCTCCCATTCCTCCTCCTCCGCCCCCCCGTTTCGGGCGTTGCCCAATGGGTCCATTAGGGGGTCACCAGTGGAAATTGAGAATGAAGATTCCAGGAACGATGATCGAGCGTCGGGCCAACGTTAGGTCTGTTTTGGGGGGCTTTAAGTGTTCCGGTGACCCCTGTTCAAAGTGGAAGTGCCGTGCCCCCACGGAAGTGCTGACCCCCTTTAATGCTGATCCCGTTGGCATTGCCCGGCGTTTTTTTGTCCCACCCAGGGTGCACCTCGTTTGTTTGTTTTCCCGGCACGCAGATACATGTTTCGCCTGGCGCGTTTCTTCCAGTCCCTTCGTTGGTCTGTTTGTTTGTTCTTTGTCCCACACCCTCGTGCCCCTCATCCCCGTCATGCCCCTCTGCTCCCTCCTCCATGCCCCTTCCCGTCCCCGACGTGCCTTTTTCCTTTTTTTTTTCCGCCTCGCTTTTCCATCCCCTCCCTCCATCCCTCCTCGCCCCTCCCTCCCTCCCTCCCTCCCACCTCCTACTTCCCTCCCCCTCGCCTCATTCCGTTAGTCCTCATCGCCTCCCTCGTCTCGCCTCGCCTCGCCCTCCCTCCCCCCCTCCCTCCCAGCCCCATACTTCCGTCACCCCCGCCGCGTTCGAGGTCCCGCCGCCGATTCCGCCGTTCCCGCAGCTGGAGGAGGCCTTGGGGGGGGGGGGCGGTTCGCAGGACGCCTGCCGCTCGTCGTCGTCGCCTTTCTGGCCGTGAAGCAGACAAGTCCCGAGGGACAAAACACACCTACAGTCGAGGCCCTGAAGAAGGAACCCATTTCGTTGGAGAGGGGCTCCGCGTTCCTTAAGTGTTTCGCAGCTTGCCTCAGGTTTTCCTTATGTTTCCGATCGGAAATCGAAGTTTAACCCATGGAGAAAAAAGGGGCCTCGTTCCTTATTTTGGGCTCCTTAGGTCAAGCCCCCGACTGTATTGTTCCAGTCATGTTCAGGCATCCGGGGTCCATACTTGGGCACCAGGACAGACAGTCAATAAAAACGGCTCATGTCGACAAACTGGTAAGAATGGGACCCAGTTTTCTTTGGTCCAGTCTTTTTCATGCTATGTTTTTTCGATCACTCGAAACACCGTTGTTCTCTTTACCGATGCGCCCCTCGTGTTGCGACGCGCGCCGTTCATCAGCGTATTCGTCCGAGTGGGATAGCATCCCAGCGGATAGCATCAATGCGCGCGTACGTTTCAAGCGTAAACGCATTCCACTCGTCGTCGTCCTCGTCGTCGTAGTCGTCGCCCTCATTCGATTATTCATCTTACTTGCAGTTTTCCGCCTCCTCTGCCTGTGCTTCCTCCTTCCCATCCTACTCTTCGTTCCCCCCCCTCCTCGTCTGACTCCCCGTTCCCCATCCACTCCCCTGCTTTCCTTATCATACTCGTCTTCCGTCCCTCTCTCTTCGCACTCACCTTCCTTCTTCTCGTAATGATCACCAGCCGTGGTTTCGCCCTCACTCCTCACGCTCGTCTTCTCGGCATCGTCGTCGTCGTCGCTCTCTCCCTTCCTTTCCGTTTGTTTCGCTCCCACCTCCTTGCCTCAGAAATCGGCACCGGAGCCCAAGAGCCTCTCCCATGTGCGGGGCTGCCTCGAGCGAGGGGGGGGGGCGTCTCGAGCCAGAGGCGGGGACCGCACCACCAGGAGAGCCCTCCCTGTCGCCCCGCGCTGGCGGTGGTGGTGGTGGTGCCGCCTCCTCCTCCTCCTCCTCCTCCTGCTCGTCCTCCTCCTCCTCCTCCTCCTTCTCCTCCTCCTCCTCCTCCTCTTCCTTCTCCTCCTCCCCCCCCTCCCCCTCCTCCTCCTCCTCCTCCTCCTCCTCCACCTCCTCCTCCTGAACGTGTTCCACACGTCGGGCCTTTCCCGCGACGCGAGGGGGTCCGTGGTGGTGGGGTCGTCTCTCCGTGCCCCAAGCCTTGTGGAAGACGATGAGTGGAGAGGAAGCGTGCTGCCAAATCATCCTCCAGATGTCTAAACCTGGCATCGCTTGAACGTGTGTATTTTTCTCTCGGGGAGGACCATCGAGGAGCATCCTTGATCATTTGGCGAAAAAGCCACGCACAACACCGAAAACAACACAGGGAATGGACGTCCGAGCGATGGCCAGTAAAAGATGTTTCCGATATTGTTGAACCATGTTAAGATGATGCTTGAAACATCTTTAGAGCATGTTTTACATGCTTAATCACACATCTTTAATTCAACGATGGGACTGTTAGAGTGTCCACTGTCATGGCTCGCAGGCGATTTCTCTCCCCCAATCCCCGACTTCCGCCAGAAAAGTTTGGTCGCTCAGAAAAGGGGAGGAATCTTGGGATACATCCCGAGGGGGCTATTCGAACGCACCCCTGTCGAGGATGGACGCCCCCCCCTCGTATATCCCAGGGTTGGGCCCCAAATTTCTGGTTCATTCGGAAACCCCACGAAGCCTGGGATAGGGGTCGACATATCCCCTGTCATGGCATCCACAGCCCTAGCCCGAGGGGGGGGGGGGGGGCCCGGCGTCGCAGGCGAGCGCGGCGAGGGGCCTGCGGGCCGTCGCGGCGGAGTTCGTGCCGACGGGAGCGCCCGCGCCGCGCCCGCTCCGCGGGGGGGGGAGGCGAGCAGCGGCGGGCCTCCTCGGAAGGCTCGGGAGCCCCCATGTGGCCCTCCGCCGAGGAGAGAAATTGCTCTGCCTCGAGCGATACAGTCGGGGCCCTGAAGAAGGAACCCTTTTCGTTGGAGAGGCCTTGGGGGGGGGGCGGTTTGCAGCTGGAGGGAGGCCTTGGGGGGGGGGGGGGTTTTTGGTGGGGGGGGGGGCGGTTCGCAGGACGCCTGCCGCTCGTCGTCGTCGCCTTTCTGGCCGTGAAGCAGACAAGTCCCGAGGGACAAAACACACCTACAGGCGGGGCCCTGAAGAAGGAACCCTTTTCGTTGGAGAGGGGCTCCGCGTTCCTTGAGTGTTTCGCAGCTTGCCTCAGGTTGTCCTTCTGCTTGCAATCGGAAATCGAAGTTTAACGTATGGAAAAAAGGGGCCTCGTTCCTTATTTTGGGCTCCTTAGGTCAAGGCCCCGACTGTACCCACCGAGGCCTTAAGCGTTTGGTTTCGATGGCGCGCGGTCGCCAAATTGGTCGACAATTGCCGTTTCTGGACTCACACAACGGTTCCACCGTGCTCCATGTAGTCACGTCCTTTAATGTTGTGCTCTGGTATGTCCTATTATGTTCTCGACGGGCCGGGGTGACGTCGTGACGCCTGTGACGCTAGATGCGTCGTCTGTTATTATGTCTACGTTTCTCTTCTAATTGAGTAGGTTATGTTATCTCTATTTCTTTCATCATATACTTTGAGATATCATGGTATGGTCTGCTCTGTGACACAATGCTGTGGCACGAAATGTTCAGGTTCTATGTTAGGATGGTGTGTTCCGTGATGCTGTTGCCAGTTCGGTTCAGTATATAATATTGGGGTCCGCTCTGCTAGTGTGTTTCGCTGTGCTTCGCTGTCGTGGTATGATATGTCTGTTTTCTGATCTTGTCGTACAATGATATGGTGTGGCATGCCATGGCGTCACTGTAATATTGGTTATGCCGGATGACGCCTCAGCTTTGCATAGTATATAATGTTTTTCTCTGCTTGTATGAATCGCTATGCTCTGCTGTCGTGAACTGATGTGCTCCGCGGCGCTGTGTCCTGATATTATATGTTATGTTCTGATGTGTCGTGTTGGGTCGTTGTCTGTTCTGTCATGTTCCGCTCTGGTATATTTTGTGATGTTCCATCATGCCCTGCTACGTAATGACATTGCTATGTTCTCTTCTGGCATGTTCTGTCATGCTCGCATTATGTTTGTCATGCTATGCTGTATCATGTTGTGATCTGTCGTGCTCGACGTCGCTATGCTCTGCTGTCGTGCTACGGTATGTTATGTGATTCTGTGCCATGATCTGATGTGGTCTTTCAGGGAGTGGAATGCTATGCTCGGCTATGCTCTGTTACGTCGTCTATTTCGCTGTGGTTTGTGATTCGATGTTATTTTTGTTGACTGGCTGGCTCTGTATAGTATATTATGTCTGTCCTGCTTGTACGTGTCGCTATGCTTTGCTGTCGTGGTATGATGAGGTGTGTGTGATGTGGTGTCATGATATGCACTGTTATGCCAAGGTATGTTATGCTACATCGGGTTATATTATGATATGTTGTGTTATGTCGTCATATGTTTTGGTATGGCCTTTTCTGGTGTGTTATGTGATGTTATGTCACGTCCTACTTAGTTATGGCATTGATATGTTCTTTCCTGTCATGTTATGCCATTATCCGGTTTTGTTCTGTCATGTTCTGTTGAGTCATGATGTGTGTTGTCGTGTTCGACGTCGCTATGCTCTGCTGTCGTGTTGTGGCATGTTCTGATATGCCGTCTCATGATGTGTTCCGTTCTGTCAAGGTGTATTATGTTATGCTCGTTTGTGTTATGTTATGATGTGTTCGGTCGCCGTCTGTTATGCAATGTTTCTGCTCTTCTATGTTCTATGGTGTTATGTTTGTTGACGGCCCGGCTCTGTACCGGAGGTTTGGGGGCCAATCCGACGTGAAACGGACCCCCCCCCTTGTTGGGAAATCGATCGGTCTCGGGTTTGTGTGCTTCGATCGTCGGGTGGTTGTAAGTACGGTAAAGGCGTGTTATGTCGGTGGCATCATTTCAGCGCATATGTATATATATATATATATGTAGCTTCGTACCAGATGACCCCACATACAATACATACGTAACATAGTAACCTTGAGTTAGATATGTGTGTTCAGCGACATACCTCACATAATACTCAACGATCCAATGATTTTATCAAGTGTGGTATCGGTTAACACTGCCAATATATATATATGTATATATATAGCGACACATACAAACCACCCTACCCCACTTAGTAGTTAACTCAGCTAAGTCGCTGTCGGGTTTGGGGGAATTGATGTTTGATTGATTGGCAAGTTTAACAACATGCTTTCATGCGTTTGAGTTTTTCAGGACAAGGCGTCGCAGGTCCACGCGCGCGGCGCCGCCCTCAGCGTGGACGCCTGCTGCGGGGGGGGGGAGTGGAAACAGGCTGCCCATTCGCCCCTCTGCCTCCCTTCCATTTCCACCTTTTTCCCCTTCCCCCCTCCCTTCCTTCCTTCCCTCAGCTCCCCTCAGTTCCCCTTCCCCCCCTTCGGCGGCAAAACCCGCCTTCACTCCTCGGCGGCAACCCGCCATCTCCATCTTCTCCCCCTCGGCGGCAAACCCGCCTTCCTTCCTCGGCGGCAAACCCGCCTTTTGCCTTCTCTCTCCTCGGCGGCACGCCCGCCCTCTCCCTTTATCACCCTTGCTCGCCCTCTCGCCTGCACCCCTCTCTACCCTACGGCGGCGTATCCGCCAGCTGCAGAGTTTTCGTTTTCCTTTTTCTCACGCGATGGCGACCGCGCAGCCATCGTCCAACTGCCGCCGATAAGCCGCCAAGGCTGTCGGGATCAGCTCGGCGGGCATCACGGCGACGTCGTTGCGCGGCCGCCACAGCGATGCGCCTGGGCATGGCGCGCGTTCCCACTCCAGGGTCCCCACCTGCAGGCACGAAGCGGCGGCGGCGTGCACGCAGCAGTGCACGAGGTGCGCTTCGCCGCCGCCCAGGAGAAAATCCTGTCGGTGCCTGGTCCCCGATTTTGGCGGGTCCGCACGCGCGCCGACCCCGGGAAAAATCAAGGCGTGGGTCTCGCGTGGTTTGCACCGTTTGTCCTGGCCGCCGTGCGCCTGGCCGTCGATCGACGCCTCTCTGCCGGTCCAGGGGGGGGGGGATGAAAGGGTGCGGAATGGCCGCCGGAGGGTGGGGAGGCGGAGGATGAGAGGGAAGAGGAGGACGAGGTGGCCGAACTGTTTGCCACCCGCAAACTTTCGAGGGTGCGCCGGCAAACGCGGCGCGCCCTCGAACGCGCAGGGCAGCGTTTGCGGTTCAGCTGCGGCCGTGCGTCTTCTTGCCCTGCGAGTAAACGTGGAGCAACTTCGCCGTCGCCTCGAACGGCCGCGCCGCAGCGTTCGCCGCGCCGCTCGGACGCAGCCCGGCGCGCACCAAAAAACGGATCAACGGGGTCACCGCCAAGCAGTCCGAAGTTTTGCCGACGACGCGCGACGCCTTCCAAGTGGCTTTCTTACGAGCCAAACTGAACAGATACAACGGCGGCGCCCTGCCGCGCCCGCCCGTGCGCCGCGCCGAACAGCTATCCCGCCAAGTCGCCTCTCGTCGGGGCTGCCGCCCTTCGCCGCCCTGAGGCGCGCTGCGATTTCGACCAGCGCGGCCCCGCCGCTGGCCCGCATTGCGCGCGCGGGGCCCCATCGCGCGCGCTCTCGGCGGCGCTGCCGCCCGCGACGCATCGCGCGCCACCGGAGAACGGTCGCCCTGAGCGACGCCCGTCGCGGCCCCTTCGGGGGGGCAGGGAAGGGGGGGCGAGCGCGGCGGAGGACGGTGGGCACATGAGAGGGACCCCATCGCGCCCCCCGCTCCAGTCACTCGGTGTCCGCCCTCGCCGTCGAGCCCCGCCAAGACGCCAAGTCGTCGCATTGCTGCAAGAA